AATCATATATGCCTGAGGTCCTATTGTGAAAGTCTATCCCAGATTTCAAACAAGCTATCTTGATGAGGATTGTATATCCAAAACGTGTCAGTAGCTTGAAATAAGCACTGTTAGTGGATGAGAAGATATTGATATAAATTTAAGTGTTTATTTTATAAATTATCTGAAGTTGAAGTATAAATATAAACTTGTATCAATTACACTATTATAAATATAACTTATCTTGACCTAGATAATTTATTAAAGGGAGTGTACTGAATATTTTAATATAACTCACTGTTGAATCCTAGACATATTTTGAAGGATGATAGTCCAGAAATTTAAACCTGAAAAAAACATCAAAAATTTTGAAAAAATAAAGGCAAAATTATGTTAAACAAAGAGCCCCCCTCCCCTTGTAGCCCCAAAAGAAAGTTTTTCCGGCAAAAATCTCACAACTAGGTGTGAGAGATTCGGGCAATCATCTCAGATATCTCCCCCCCCCCTTTCGAACGTACACCTGGCTCCGCCACTGCATTGAGTCACTCATTCCAAATAATAATTTGGGAATTGTCTGTTAACCATATGTTTTGGGTTTTCTTAAAAATATTTGTTATGATTCATAAGTCTTTGAGGTATTGGACTTTAAGATACCAGACTTTGATTTGTGATGTACCAGACTTTGAGGTATGAGGTACTAGACTTTGAGGTAAACCAGACTTTGAGGTATTAGGTACTGGACTTTGAGGTATGAGCTACCAGACTTTGAGGTATAAGCTACCAGACTTTGAGATATGAGCTACCAGACTTTGAAGTATGAGCTACCAGACTTTGAGGTAAAATAGACTTTGAGGTATGACCTACCAGACTTAATGGTTAACCCAACTATGAGGTATGAGGTAAACCCAAAACCCAACTTTGAGGTATGAGCTAAATCCAACTTTAAGGTTTGAGGTATCGGACTTTGAGGTAAACTTGACTTTTCAATATGAGGTATTTGTTCCATCCTGGGCCTGCACATTTGGGATAATCAAACCTTCCCTTCCCTGATATCACTACCAGTATTTTATCATTTTGTCATGCTAGCAAAATCGAATAATAAATACAACAAAGTAAGTGGGTCAATAAAATAGTTAACCGAAAGTGTACCATGACACCATTGACTGGTATACAATAAATACATTGGTATGTCATATAGTAATCACTTTGCATATCAAGTAGCTGTGAAAGGAAAAGGAAGTTGAATTAAGAGTTAACTTGTATCAAATGCTAGGATTATCATGAGTAAGAAGCCATTTCGAAGCAACGTAAGGAATATTTCTTGTTAATTTTTCATCCTAAAACAGTTATATTTTGATATTTGAGGTGATGTACTTTATATGCTGTATATAAGTTAATATTTTGAAGGCTAAAAATAGAAAACTTGAGGACAAGATTCTTGTCCTGTTTACTGTTATGTTTTATTATCAAATGCTAGGATTATCATGAGTAAGAAGCCATTTGGAAGCAATGTAAGGAATATTTCTTGTTAATTTTTCACTCCAAAACAGTTATATTTTGATATTTGAGGCAATGGTTATTACTTATGCTGTATATTGAAGGTTGAAAATACAAAAACATAACTTGGACATGGTTTTAAGTCTAGCTTGTTGTCGTGTTTACTGTCTTCTTAGTTTTGTCAGAGTATAATATTATACATACTTCAAATTCAATGATATATTTTGGGATTGTCTTAGAGTTTTGATAATTATGTTAAATTTGGCAAAATGTGTGAATGCAATACCGGTATATGTTTTGCTAGAATTGAACATCAGAGATGCATAAGTAATATATAGCTAGAATATAACCAAGAGGAAGTGAATAGTTGTAAGAAATTTATTTTGTATATCCTGTGTTACTTCATGTCTTGTAAACTTCTTAAAGGGACATGTTCGCCTTCAGTTTGATCAATCATACCATAGTCCTAGAAACAGGAACTTACTTAGCTAAGCTTATCAGTGTGTTCACAGCTCACTGTTGAAAATGTAGCCTTCAAATCCATGTGTGTCTAGAATTATCTGCATTTAAAAGTTAAAATGACACTCATTTTTTCTTATACTCTGCCATAAATAGACAAGACATACAGTATTATATATATAGAAATAGAAAGTGAAATTTCTAGTTATAAGTGTATTTGAAGGGATTATGCCACTACTTTCATATATATTCAAATCAACCCTTGAAAATTGCTAATCATGACTTTTAAAGGAATAAGTCATCAAAATGTTTGCTCTGCAAGAGTTCAAATTTTCAGAATTGAAATCTAGATTCTGTCCTGCAATCCAGCAAAAAGCCATCAGTGACTGTTGTCAATTCTGAACCATTAATATTGGCATTTTCATGTTTCGTGTGTAGATTTTGACTTTTTAAGTATAGCGGTACAAAGAGTTGAAATTAATCTCTACACAACCTTGTGTATAGGGGACACTGATAGCATCCATTTGCACCATTCAAATTTTCAATCAGATGTCTGAGGTTCTTTTGATTATATGAATTTGATGAGGTCACTATCACCAAGGTTAACAGCAGTTTTTGCTATAGTGAAATCATAAAGTGTTCCCAATACAAATGAAATTTTTAGAAAATTCGTTACAATCCCTTTAAGTAAATGACTATATTCCCTTTAATCATGAAGTTTGATATTTAGATTTTTTATTGAATAATTAAAAAAAGCTTGTTATATAATACACATGTAATTAATTTGATTGGCATTTGGCATTTTGAAACTATAATCTATATTTATTAGAGCATAAAATTTGTACTGTTTCTAATGTTACAAATAACATTAGTAAACTATTATACTATGAGTGTATGAGTTTGTTCAAATCAAACCCTTGATTCAGAGAGACTCATATTCTGATGTCATGAATGATGTTCACTTAAGTCAACTGTTATATTTTTTGAATGTAATAATGATTACCATGGTTTACTTTATCAATATTCTGCATTTCGCCAGTGGATTTAACTAATCAAAATGAACATATTCATGATGCCTTTAGTCTTGTATTATTCATGATGTTTCTGTGTTATATAGAAGTATATGAATTGTAAATAACATAATATCATATAGAGGATCGTAAACAAGTGCTTATGTAATATGAAATTTATTTGCCAGAGTTGCCAGATTTAATATTTCCAGAATCTTGGCGATGAAAATTTTTAATCTGGCACTGAATTTCATATTACATAAACACAAGTGAAAGATTCTATTTATCACACAACTATCAATAAGAGGAAATTTTCCTTAAATTCTTTCTATATTGGCCCATCATTTTAAGGTCAGTCTTTTTAAACCTTTCTACTCAGAAAAGATCTTGGTAAAAACAATTATGTGATACAATTTTATGCCGTTTACCATCTTCGTCAACTTCAAAGAATGATATGTTGTTCTGTTTACATGATGCATGAATACATGGCCTAATTTACATAGTTATTAACCGTTGCTATGAGTTCATATCGTTGTTATGAACCTGTGTTATCTACCAGAGAACAGAACTGTTGTGTGATAAAAATATTTATTACATAATCCATAATGCAATATTAACTGGTTGCAGAGAAATAAGATAGAAATTTGTAATAATTTTCGACTATATTGAAGAGATAAGAGACAACTTTTGGACACTAAATTACATATATATAAATTTGTCTGTTTTTTTTTCAGCTTGATAAGGTCGGTGGTACCTTCCGACTAGGTAAAGAGAAAACAAAACCAAAGAGTACATCAACCTTTCCTAAAGGAGTACAGGATGACAATGGGTCCAATGGAGGGTTCGCACCAGACCCTTTTAATCAAATGGATAATATGCCGGATAAAGAGGTCCATGAAAAATTTGAAAAGATGCTAGTAAGAAATTTTTGTTATTGTTTCAGATCTTATTGAACATTTTTAAAAAGGCTTTTTTTTGCTTCACTGTCAGAGATGCTCATTTGGGTTTTTTTTTGGGGGGGGAGGGGGGAGATTTTTTTGGTTTAGTTGAAAAAGGAGCAAAATTGACATGTATCTGCCCAAATTGCTATTCAAAAAGGAAAAAACACAAAAGTTCAAAGACGTAGACATGAAATGGGTCAAAACAAGTGTCTTTGAAAAAATTGTCAATGATGTTGCCAACACATGTTTCAGATATATAATCCTCATCAGTGGAGTGTGTTTCCAAAATTATTTTAATCATAATAACAATGAAATGTGTTTTGAAATGCCCTTGACTACTTTGTGGCTTTTGTTGTGTCTATTTTTGCTGAAATTTGTGGAACTATGTATGGATGAAATTTAGATATTTTTAATTTTTTTCCAGGATGATATGAATTTAACAGAAGAGAAGAAAGCACCATTACGTAAACGAGATATTACATTAAAAAGATCTATGTTAGCTATGCATTATAAAGGCGCCTCAAAGGTAACATGATTATAAAGTACTGCTATTGGAGATTGAATCTCCTGTAAAGCCTGCCACAGATGAGAGGAACTAGCTGAGCATCCTGCCTCGAGAGGCTGTCAACTGAGCAACATTCTCACTATTTTTTTCAATGCAGACGACAGCTCTCGTCTGAGCTATTATCTCACTAGAAAATCTTCGGCCAATTCCGAACGTCAAGGAAAACAACTGAAGAACGTTCGGATTGCATCTGTGTCACATAAATGATCAAAATGACCTCATAAACAGCGTCTAGACACAGGAAGTTCAGCAAGCTGATCTTCTAAAATTGCATCATTCATGGTTACCGTTATGATACCATGTGATCTGTCAATGCATTTCTATTGGTTAGCTACTTTTTCTAGCTCAGCTGGCAGCTAAGACGCCCGCACACGGTGAATTTCTGGCCTGTTGAGGCAGAAAATATCAAACAAGATAGATATTTTCCTCACAGCCTCATGAGGCAGAAATCTCACTAAAAATTCAGTGCAGGAAACAGCTCAGCTAGTTTCCTCTCATCTGTGACAGGCTTAAGAACAAGTTTCAAATGAGTTAAAACTATTGGTTGCTGTATCTATGCCCATGTTTTTTTTCGTGAAATTTTGATGTAACGTCAACATTTTTCATTTCCAAAAATCAAAGGACCTCTTAAATCTGTGGCACACGACCTTTTGTCCATCTGAGGCAAACGTAAGGGTAAACCCGGCAATTATTGAAGGTTTTGTCTTGTCACACACCTCTATGAACCTTAGCAAATTTTACCTTCTTTTAAAACAGGTTTTTTTATGTAATGACATAAGCTATCTACCAGAGACGGCCATTTTGATTTCAGAATGATTGTGTTTCTCGTAGTATTTTGTGAGTGGAAAGAGATGAGGCTCTCTCTTCATATACTGACAATAGTTAAAATTTGTTTTTTTTTTGTTTTTTCAGCCAAAAGGCGATACAGACACACCTCAAGATTTTATTAATGAATTATCTAATGCTGATTTAAAGGGAGAAAAACGATTAAGAGTTTTAGAATCTTTAAGAGTTTCTTTAACTAGTAATCCTGTCAGGTAATATAAACTTTATCTTACCTTTAGATCTCATTATTACCAGTCTAATTCATATTAGATCAAACTTTCCTTTCGTTTTTTTTATTTGCTGTATTTTTTAATGTAGCCACTTCATTTCGGGTCTAACTACAGCTGTCTTGAACATTCGTCAAATTAATCTTTTGACCTAGCTTGAATCAATCCAATTTCTACTCTCTCCACCGCTGGCATTTTGTGACGCAGTGTTTATCAGTTGAGGTTAAAAGGTTAATTTGAAGAACGCTAAAGAAGGCTGTCGTTAGACCCTAACTAAAGTGGCAATATTCAAAATAATAACGAATAACAAAAACAGGACGAAAGTTTTAATTTTACTGAAATATTACCATCCTTGAATTTTTTGCTTTGTTTATTTCTATTTTTTAAATCGCTCTACAAACAAAATGATGTATCCAACACTATTTTAACAGTAAAAAATAATTGTCATTGTATTTTGTAAATCACTGACTGCAAGACATTGGCCAAAATATCTTGATTTAGAGATGTTATGATTATTTGTTTTTAGTTGGATTCAAGATTTTGGTGAAAAAGGTTTCAATGGAATTTTAAGAAATTTAACATACTGCTGTGATTCGTAAGTAGCCCTGATCATTTTTCTCCTACTCACAAATTCCTAGTGCTTCTTGTTGTAAATGCAGTGTTCAGAAACTTCCATTTTGGTTCCAAAATTGAGATTTTGTGGAAGCAAGGTGAAGAATTACTGTCATCAACGCAGTGGTAACAAATTTCTGCAAATCAAGGCAGATCCAGAGAGGTCATGAACCCAATTGAAGAATAATAAGAATTTTAATTTGAACGATTTTTTATTGATATTGCAGTAAATCAGATAGAAGAAGTACATATGAATGTGTACGATGTTTAAAAGCTTATATGAATAATAAGGTGAGACTTATTTGTAAATACGTCCAAATACACCAAATGGAAAATAATAGTATTTATTAAAAATTCACTATAGCATGATGGTACCTGAGCTTTTTCAATGTTGTGATTTATTCAAATTGACCTTGTAAACTAATGATATTTTTGCTAAGATTCCACTGAATTTTTGGAATGTATTTTGGTGTTCAAAGAATCACTAGGGCCGTAAGTAGGGTGATTTGAGGCAAATTGGGCATGAGGCATTGCCTCATTTGCCTTGATAAAGTTACGGTCTTGTTTACTTTATGAGATCAAACTACCATTCTGGCCTTACCCAATTCCTCAGATGTGATACTTTGGCAACCTCTTCATATGAAAATTCCCAATTCTGTTATTGAACAGAGCATTTTATTGGTTGAAAATTTTAGTGACAGAAAATACTTTATAAAATCAATTTCCTCAGATCATGGATTAACAATTATAAAAAAAATTTCTATCACATTGTCTCGTTGTCCTGAATTTAGTTAAAATTAGAATACAATTTCATTTCGTTTATTATTAATTTTGTCTGTCTGAATATTGTAATTTATACAAAGGTCACGTACTGGTGACAATTCAAAGCTATATATAGCAGACAATTATGTGCTGCTCTCCAACCAATCAGAATCACTTTTACAAACGAGTATCAGCAGTCTCATAATCTCATTGGTCATATCGCACTACTTTAGGTCTCGCTATCCCACAAATACGATAGTCTATATTAAGACAGGGATTGTGCATGACATGCTGTGATTGGTTGAAATGAACGTCAATGGTACACAGTATTGGTATAGATCTTGTAGGATTACTATGGAGTTAGACAAAAAAAAATTACGAAACAAAATTGTAATCTAATTTTCATTTAATGTTGTATTTCCTTGTGATAAACACTATAGTCTATTACTAAAAGCATGATTGTTATATTTTCAGTATGGTTTATTACAAATCTTAAATCACGAAGAGGCATTGATAATATTATCACGAACTATAGATCCGTCTGATCCTGCCACTATGTTAGAGGCTGTACGATTATTAGCTGCTATCTGTTTAGTACCACCTAATGGGTAAGTTTCCATCTCACTCTTTCCAACACACTCACTCACAATGCGATTTCTTTTGATAGGATGTAGTCGTCTAAATAAACCAGTAGTGTAGTCATTCGGTTGTCTTGGCATAATTTCCCTCATTGCACAATCTTACAGTTATAGCCTTTGTTGATATTTATTAGATATGGATAACTGGAAGTAAACTAACATGATAATTAGACTTTTGTTCCTCTCCAGATTTTATTATTGTGTCCTTTATTCCTCAAGTCCTTTTTATTTAGCCTCTAGGATGGTCAATTCACCACATGTTGTAGTCTGAAAAACATCTGCCTCTATTCCATTCTTGATAGCAATTATGCATCAGGGCTACTTTCACTTTATTAGTATCATGTGACCCTGTGACCTTTGATCCCTGGATTTGCACACCGTCTCTATCAGCAGGTTAAGGTACCGACACACGAGCGATCTTTTGTCGCCGATTGGAGTCTTGTCTTGAGTTTCAACGACTGACACGGGCACACAAGGAGACAAAAATCTTCAGTCGGTTGTTTTCCACTTTTACGTGTGGAGCATGCAATTGAAAGGAAACTGAATCTGATTGGATGATGACGGTCTGTCTTGTAGACGATAAAACTGTCGGAGACAATTATCAAACTAGTTTGATATTATAAATCCTGTCGGGGACACGATAATCTTGTCATGGAAGCACAGGCACATGCGTCTTTAAGCAAATGATAAGATCACATTTATGGAAGCACTATGTTATAAATTCATTTAGAATGGTAGTTTTTTATGAATCTATGGGAGCCGCAGTGGCTCAGTAAGTTAGACGCTTGCTCGCTAACCTGAAGGTCCAGGGTTCAATCCTGGCATAGGTCGAGATAATACCTTCGGATTTTTCAACCCGGTTTCCCCCTGTCGGTGATGAAGGTAAGAGGGACTGACATGGAAAAAGCGTCTAGTCGTTTGGACAATAAACCGAGGCCCCGTGTGCTACAGACTGTGCACGTTAAAGATTCCTCGACAGTTGGAAATCGAAAAAGAGCAGGCTAATGCCGCTGTCCTGGCAAAATTTCCCTCATCGCACCCTGCATGGCGTTGCCCATCTTCATTAGCCCACATGGTGCAGAAAAGTAGGACGTAAAACTCCATTCATTTCATTTCATTTTTATGAATCTATGTTATTTTCAGACAAGAGAAGGCATTAGAAGGTATAACAGTATGTGGTGAAATACGAAGTCAAGATAGATTTATACCTATTATAATGGGACTGGGTATGAGAGACAATATAGCTATGCAGGTAAGTCTTTTTCTTATGCTAGGTACTCACTTTGTTCCCATCAGTCATAGCAACTTGTTTGCTACCTCATCATGGCAGTTTTTTTTGCTATCTCATCATGGCAGCCTAGTTTGCTATCTCATCATGACAGTCTCATTTGCTATCTCACCATGGCAGTCTTGTCCGCTATCTCATCATGGCAGTCTGGTTTGCAATCTCATCAGGGCAGCCTTGTTTACTATCTCACCATGGCAGTCTTGTTTGCTATCTCATCATGGCAGCCCAGTTTGCTACCTCATCATGGCAGCCCAGTTTGCTATCTCATCATGGCAGTCTTGTTTGCTATCTCATCATGGCAGTCTTGTTTGCTATCTCAACATGGCAGTCTTGTTTGCTATCTCATCATGGCAGTCTGGTTTGCTATCTCATCATGGCAGCCCAGTTTACTATCTCATCATGGTAGCCTTGTTTGCTGTTTCATCATGGCAGTCTTGTTTGCTATCTCATCATGGCAGCCCAGTTTGCTACCTCATCATGGCAGCCCAGTTTGCTATCTCATCATGGCAGTCTTGTTTGCTGTCTCATCATGGCAGTCTTGTTTGCTATCTCATCATGGCAGTCTTGTTTGCTGTCTCAACATGGCAGTCTTGTTTGCTATCTCATCATGGCAGCCAAGTTTGCTATCTCACCATGACAGCCAAGTTTGCTATCTCATCATGGCAGCCAAGTTTGCTATCTCACCATGGCAGTCTTGTTTGCTATCTCATCATGGCAGCCTAGTTTGCTATCTCATCATGACAGTCTTGTTTGCTATCTCACCATGGCAGCCTTGTTTGCCATCACATCATGGCAGTCTCGTTTGCTATCTCAACATGGTAGTCTTGTTTGCTATCTCATCATGGCAGCCAAGTTTGCTATCTCAACATGGTAGCCTTGTTTGCTATCTCATCATGGCAGCCCACTTTGCTATCTCATCATGGTAGCCTTGTTTGCTATCTCACCATGGCAGCCCAGTTTGCTATCTCATCATGGTAGCCTTGTTTGCTATCTCATCATGGCAGCCCAGTTTGCTATCTCATCATGGCAGCCTTGTTTGCTATCTCATCATGGCAGTCTTGTTTGCTGTCTCAACATGGCAGTCTTGTTTGCTATCTCATCATGGCAGTCTGGTTTGCTATCTCATCATGGCAGCCCAGTTTGCTATCTCATCATGGTAGTCTTGTTTGCTATCTCATCATGGCAGTCTTGTTTGCTATCTCACCATGGCAGTCTTGTTTGCTGTCTCATCACAGCAGTCTTGTTTGCTATCTCATCATGGCAGTCTTGTTTGCTATCTCATCATGGTAGCCTTGTTTGCTATCTCACCATGGCAGTCTTGTTTGCTATCTCATCATGGCGGCCAAGTTTGTCATCTCAACATGGTAGCCTTGTTTGCTATCTTATCATGGCAGCCCAGTTTGCTATCTCATCATGGCAGCCCAGTTTGCTATCTCATCATGGCAGCCCAGTTTGCTATCTCATCATGACATTATTGACTATAATTATTGTCAACAGTTTATCTTATTATAAATTTCAGGTAGCCTGTATGCAGTTGGTAAATGCTATAGTCAGTACACCAGAAGATCTAGATTTTAGATTACATTTACGTAATGAATTTATGAGAACAGGATTAAACCAACTACTACCTGTAAGTTTCTTTTTTTGAATCCGTCTGCTCTTTTGAAATATTTTTCTATAGTATCAGCGCAAGTTTTTTTGAGAGTATGTAATTTTTGCTATTCAAGGGATTGTTAAGATAGCATCAGTTTGCATCATACCAATTTTAGGTCATATTTAAAACTAAACATTTTATGATGTCACTATCGCAAATAGCCTTATAATATTGGCACATGTTCGGATAAGGTCATTCTAGGTCAATCCTTCTTATCTTATTGTTGCATTGCGTTGGATGAAAATTATCATGATGTATCGTCACAATTAATTCTTAGCCCCTTTTGATAACAAATGACACAGAATCCTTGTGTGTATAAGAAATTGTGTCATGTTTTCATTTTCCAAGTATGATTTTCACATCAAAATTTGCAAAAAATCATTTCTGAGTTTGAAATTTGAGATGTGTATCACAATTCCTTACTTAATGTTCTCAAGTGCTTAATAGTGACAAAATTGTTAGTAATTTTACAAATTTCAACTATTTTTTCTCTTTCCTTCTATAATAAATGAATCATGATAATTATTGCACTTAGTTGGGTGAGTATCGTGAAGTGTATTGAATCGTTACAACCTTACCCATGATTCATAGTTTTCTTGAATTTTTCAGACACTAGACCAGTTCGATGATAATGAATTAAAAACCCATGTAGATATTTTTAACGCACATAAAGAAGAAGATCATGAAGAATTTTCACATCGTTATGATAATATTAGATTAGAATTAGAATATCCTTTTTACTTTAATAATGTTTCATTAAAATGGGGACACTGATAGCATTGAATTGCACCTTTCTTGCACGTCTGTGGTTCTTGCAATTTCATTAAAACTAAGCATTTAGGATGCCATTATTGCAGCTGATAGCATCGATTTGCAATGTTCCAATTTTCAATCAGACATCTGTGGTTCTTGCAATGTCATTAAAACTAAGCATTTAGGATGCCATTATGGCAGCTGATAGCTTTGATTTGCACTGTTCCAATTTTTAGTCAGATGTCTGTGGTTCGGAAACTGAAGGTGCTCTAACACCATAGCGATTACCAGCTACGTATGATCGCGAATAATCAAAGCGTACATGAGCACAGAAGGCAACTCACAAGGAGAATTGTGTTCGAAAATATTGACCGCTATTCTAATTCACAACCATACACAACTGGTGATGGCTATGGGGTGAAGGTCATTTAAGCGGTTTAGGATGTCATTATCGAAAAATTTACTTATTATATCTCAAGTCCTTTGTGACAGCTTTAAGATTTTTGGTGCAGCTGGAAATATATGACATTGTTTAATTGGGACCAGAAGATACCAACATTTTCATCCAAAATATTTATGAAGACATGTTTGATGACAGGGGCTGATATCTGACACCAAGCAGACTGCCGAAAGCACTGGCTTTGGCATGTTGTTGGGTTCAGAGCCACTGTCCACCCCAAAACCCTGTGTACAATGAATTTGCATACTGGCATAATAGTAAAAAAGATAGCTTCTCTTGGAGAAATGAGTATTTTTCTTAACCAATGTATACAGATCCACTGTCGTGTTTTAATATATTAAATAGTACTATTGGTAATACGATAGCAGAACCGTATTTTTTATCAATATTACAACATTTACTATCTATTAGAGATGATATATATTCTAGGTAAGCTTTTCTCACCATTTTATTTTACTAATGATCTGTTTTTTGGTAAAGGTGCAATAGTTTAGGTGCCATAACAACTAAGGATCCCTTCTACTAGATGCTTTTTTAATGATCAAAAACTCTTGGCATATAACTTTCCCGTATCATCTGTAACCCTTTATAGCTGGCTCAGCTGGAATTATGAGTGAAGATGACTACTTCACGGTCATCAGACTGAAAACTAAATTGAAAATTTGCCATAGCATTTTCTATTTAAAATTCACATTTTTCTAATAACTACACGTAACATTTTGAGGAAAATTACTTTACTTAGTAATGATTGTGTTGGGAATTGAGGTTTGTATTGGGAATTGAGGTTTATGTTGGGAATTGAGGTTTGTATTGGGAATTGAAGATTAGGTTGGGAATTGAGGATTTTCCTGGGAATTGAGGATTGTGTTGGGGATTAAGGATTATGTTGGGAATTGAGGATTGTGTTGGGAATTGAGGATTTTCTTGGGAATTGAGGATTGTGTTGGGAATTGAGGATTGTGTTGGGAATTGAGGATTATGTTGGGAATTGAGGATTGTGTTGGGAATGGAGGATTGTGTTGGGAATTGAGGATTATGTTGGGAATTGAGGATTGTCTTGGGAATTGAGGATTATTTTGGGAATTGAGGATTGTATTGGGAATTGAGGATTGTCTTGGGAATGGAGGATTGTCTTGGGAATGGAGGATTATGTTGGGAATTGAGGATTGTCTTGGGAATTGAGGATTGTCTTGGGAATGGAGGATTATGTTGGGAATTGAGAATTGTCTTGGGAATTGAGGATTGTCTTGGGAATTGAGGATTATGTTGGGACTTGAGGATTGTCTTGGGAATTGAGGATTATCTTGGGAATTGAGGATTGTCTTGGGAATTGAGGATTGTCTTGGGAATTGAGGATTATGTTGGGAATTGAGGATTGTGTTTGTAATTTTTTCAGACCTCAGTATTATAAATTAATAGAAGAATGTGTTACACAGATCGTTTTACATCGGAGTGGTGTGGACCCTGATTTTAGAGCTACACAAAGATTTGAAATAGATGTAGAACCATTATTAAGTAAGTTACAATGTGGAATTAATGTTGGGATATTTTGGAATCAGAATCAAACACAGAGTAGGACTGTTCCTGTGATAAGATATTCATAGCTAGACTTTTTAGCGCCAATTTTTGTCTAATTTAAACTGTAAAAAAAATGTCCTAAAGAAAAAAATCTCAACCATGCATTCCTATCAGATAAGACTGGCTAGTACAGGCCAATCAACAGCCCTGATCTCCAAAAGTTAATCTCAATTTAGTCTCTGGAGGAAAAATCTGTTGGAAATCGGTTATCTGATACCAATGGAACACACGGCCAAAAATTTCAAATTGTCTTGTATTTCAGGTAATTTAACAGAGAAGTCAAAATTCGAAGATTCTGAAAGTGCAATAGATAATGCTAAATTCCATGAAGCTTTGACAGCTAAACAGGAAGCTGAAGCAAAAGCTGCTGGGTTTGAGGAAAAAATCAAAGCTTTAGAACAAGAAAACCAGCAATTAAAACAAAAAGTAAGTCATCCATCCAATTAACATCTTCAACATACTTACAGCTCTCTCACATTCCATCCTTATGATGATGCTTAGATTTTGTGCAGCTCTGTTCCAAAGTTTCGTGCTTTGATCCACCAGATCATTGCTTTCCAATACAAGCATGTTTGATTGTCCATAGAATTCAGATTTTGACTCTTTATTTCAGGAAAAAGATGGTATAGGAGCAGTAGTAAGCTCAGCTATAACAAGAGGTGGAGGTGGACCTCCTCCCCCTCCTCCTCCTCCTGGACCAGGTGGTGGTCCTCCCCCTCCCCCTCCTCCACCATTTCCTGGTGGTGGTGGACCTCCTCCCCCACCTCCTCCTCCCTTCCCTGGTGGTGGTGTTCCCCCTCCACCTCCTTTCCCAGGAGGTCCTCCTGCACCTCCTCCTCCACCTGGTATGGGTGGTCCTCCACCACCTCCTGGATTCATGAGTCCACCAGGTGCCCCCTCTCCTCCTACTAATGTCTTACCTTTTGGAATGACCATGAAGAAAAAATATAGCACCAACACACAGACTAAAAGATTAAATTGGAATAAGGTAGAAACTTTTTTTTTGTAATATGTATTACTGGTTCAATTCCAATCCTTGACACTTTTTAGTAATAAACTCTGACTCCCTGTTCTCCTACAATTCAATAGAAACATAGTTGTGCCTGTTGTCCATCAATAGTCAATTGTCATTAATTTGTCAAAATTTACCTCATTGCATACTGCATAGTGTTTCCCAGGCATAACTGAAAAGCAGGATTAAATTTCGAAAACTCTTCTTTTGTGATATCTTGAATATAAAATAATGGCTATTGATAAAAGACCATCTGTTTTATATGTAGGTAAATGTAAGAAATCTAGATAAAGAATCATTATGGGTTAAAATAGATGAAACTGAATTAGAATCAGATGATTTATTGAAAGGATTAGAAGAACAGTTTGCTGTTAAAGCACCACGTAAGTTAAAGTAGAGCACATGTTTATTTATATGTAACATATCTTTACTTCACAAAAACTTGTGGCATGGGGATGGTCAACGTGTCCAAACGACACCCCCTAACAAAAACTTGTGGCATGTGGATGGTCAACGTGTCCAAACGACACCCCCTAACAAAAATTTGTGGCATGGGGATGGTCAACGTGTCCAAACGACACCCCCTAACAAAAACTTGTGGCATGGGGATGGTCAACGTGTCCAAACGACACCCCCTAACAAAAACTTGTGGCATGGGGATGGTCAACGTGTCCAAACGACACCCCCTAACAAAAACTTGTGGCATGGGAATGGTGAGGACTCTTATTCTGAGGACATCAAAATGAAGGAAAAGTATTTTTAAATTTGTGAAATGGAATTTTGTTCTGTTCTTATAGCTAAGAAAGAAACAGATGGTGAAGAAACTAAAAAACCTGCCAGGAAAGTGAAAGAGTTAAAAGTTCTGGATGGCAAAATGGGACAAAACTTATGTGAGTATGAATCTGTAGTTATTAAATAGTTAAATACTTGAACAATAACTTGGAGGTCTGGGGTTTCATCCAGGTATAGGTGGACATGTTTTTGAGTGATGCAGATTGGAGGGGCTTACATGGAAAAAGCGTTAGATCGATTGGACAAGACAACAAATTGAAGCTGTGTGTGGTACGGGCTGTAATCATTGAAGATCCCTTAACAGTAGTGTTGAAACGGTTAATCAGTTAACCGATTTCGGGTAGTATTTCACAGGTAACCGGGTCTGATTTGAGATTATAGGTTAACCGTCAATTTTATAAGAAGTAAAAACTATTAGTTTTATACCAGTTGTGGAACCAGTACACTGATTCGCGGCGATTTCAATGAGATACACTCATTACACTGAACCCACAACTGGTATAAAAACCTTTGATCTGTTAGAGATTATAGCAATGAGTGACAATGGATCTGAACTATGTCAGGCCCGCTCGTAATCTTACATTGAAGCAGACGCTTCAAATATCAATGGGTTGTTTGGTATCTGTCGATTTGTACCGACAGTTCGCGGGGAACTAGCCAAAATCTTCCTGTGTACTCATTTACACTTACTCTAGTTTAGTTAACGGTGAGTTTAGTAATTAGCCTGGTAACAAACGGTTATTGCGGACGATTACCCGGTTTGTAAAATTCATTAACCGTTTCAACACTACTCAACAGTTAGAAATTGAAAAAGAGTGGGCTAATGCCGGTTTTGGAAAAATTGCCATCGTAGATTATGCATTGTGTTGTCTGTTTTCAGACAGAAAAGTAGGATGCAAAACTTTCATATCATTTCAGCTATATTTTTGGGTTCTATAAAAGTACCATATGCAGAAATGAAGCGGCGTATATTAGCTATGGATGAAGAATCACTATCTGCTACAGTTGTAGAACAGTTGATTAAGTTTATGCCAACACCAGAAGAAATGAATAAGATAGCAGGCCTACAGGATGATTATAAAGATCTAGCTGAGGCAGAACAGTTCTGTGTTACGGTAGGGTAGTTCTTTTGGATTCTGGCTTTGTTCAATCCCGGCATAGGTCGAGATAATACCTTCGAATTTTTCAACCCGGTTTCCCCCTGTCAGTGATGCAGGTAAGATGGACTGACATGGATAAAGCATCTAGTCGTTCGGATCGGACAATAAACCGAGGCCCCGTGTGCTACAGGCTGTGCACGTTAAAGATCCCTCGACAGTTGGAAGTCGAAAAAGAGCAGGCTAATGCCGCTGTCCTGGCAAAATTTCCCTCATCGCACCCTGCATGGTGTTGCCCGTCTTCATTAGCCCACATGGTGCAGAAAAGTAGGACGTAAAACTCCCTTCATTTCATTTCATTTTTGGATTCTGGCTTTGATTACTGAAGCTGTTGAAACTGCCTCCCAATACTTCCAAAGTAGTGAAAAGAAGAGTTAAAACTTGAATTTTTGAGCAGACTTGTGGAGATGAGATGAAAAATCCATGGTTTTGTACACTACAGCGATACTGTGAAAGTTTAAATTTCTTGTAGGTCGAAAAAATGTTTTGGTCAAATTTGTATATACTATGCACCAAAACTAGGTCAAACTGCTGAATTAACAATTAGTAATCTCCGTTTTTATACGCCTACATCTCTCTATGTGGACGTATATTGTCGGCACCCCTGTCCGTCCGTCGGTCAACATTTGCTTGTACACACTCAAAAATCTAGATTTTTTGATGGAATGAAATGAAATTCGGTATGTGTATACATATTCTTAAATTGAAGATCAAGTTCAAATTTGAGCTATTTTCGACCGTTAGAAGCAGAGTTATTGCCCTTGCCGCAAAATCTTGAATATTTACCATCCGCATGACGTGGTGGGCGTATATGGCTGTGGTCCACTATCTTTAATTAACCCTTTTAAAACAAATTCAGTTTGATCAAGTTGATACATAGATACAAGTAGCATACTTTAGACATATATTCAGGTAAAATTTTATGACGTTTGTGAAAATGAACATTTTGAATACTGTCCCTCTAATGTTGCTCTTTGTATTATTTTAGATGTCTAAAATAAAAAGAATAACACCTAGACTAAACTCTATGTTATTTAAAATGAGATTTCCTGAGTTAGTGGCTGATATTAAACCTGTAAGTAGTGTTATTCAACTTATATAGCAAGTAGTCCTGGTGGCTAACTCTATAGTTGGGAGTTCCAGAGTTAGACACTGCCATAGATAGACCTCTTAAAGTTTTCAAAATGATTTCCCGCATCATGTAGGTTGGATGTGACTGATATGAAAAAAGCAAAAAAGGTCCGATGGGAAAACTGAGGACACAGGCTATACTGCAGGATGTGCGTTTTTAAAGATGGGTTCCTTATTTTCATAAATGAAATGCTAATACTTTTATGAATAGAAAGAACAGGTGTCTAATAATTTGGAAGGTACCAGTTTGTCTCACATGTCCATAAATAATTCAAAATTAGCTAACAGAATATCAATGAGTGACCGATCAAGAAAGGTCAAAAAGTATTTTATTTGTTTATTCAGACTGTATATACATGAACATTTAAAACTGTTAATTATATGCAATAAGAACATAATGATATGATTAGGAATACATGATAATTCATTAGAAACACCAATTAATCAAATAGTTTGTTTAATTTGACACTAAAAAATAAGGAAACCTATCTTTAAGGTCCTGAAATGTTGAAAATCTAATTAGACTGCTTGGCATTTATTGTTTCTGCCCATCAGGAAGAATAAAAAAAAATATAAAATGCATTCTCATTTTGTAGTAGCAATGCCCATATAATATAACGCTCAATATTCTTACCTTTCATCTGGAAATCTCAATCTGGAAAGAATTTTGTCACCATAAATATCGTGCATCCAGCCCTGGCAAAAATCAAAAAAATCATTTGGTAATATGTTGAGAGCATACACCAATCTGACCTGAAATCTTACATTTCCATGATATACATGTACCATTCTGTATGATATTTCTCTCTGAATTGCAGGATTTAGTAGCAGGAACTGAAGCCTGTGATCAAGTTATTAAAAGTAAAAAGTTTGCTAAATTAATGGAGTTGATCTTGTTGGTAGGAAATTATTTAAATGCTGGTTCCAGAAATGCTCAAACTGTTGGTTTCGATGTTAGCTTTTTAACAAAAGTAAGTTCTGAGTTATTGCCCTTGAATTACTGAACAAACTCTCCAGTGGATAGTTGACGGACCTTTAGATAAGCCACTTCTCTTAGAGTCTTAAGACAGCCTTCTTGAATGTGTGCCTGTTTGATAACTCCACCAGCTAATCAAATTCCTTCCCTCTCCAATGCTGGGATTTTATGACATGAACAAAAAGATGTATTCAGAGAAGCATGAGACACCGAATACGCCTTTGTTCCCTTCATAAAATCTCAGTGTTAGAGAGGTAATAAATTTGATACGCTGGTGGAGTCATCAAACAAACGCACGTTCAAGAAGGCCGTCTTTAGACCCTAACTGTAGTGGCAATATGAAAAATAATAGCTAATATAAAATGGAATGAAATGTTTATTATAATGGAGCTAAAAATTCAATAGGATGAAAGAACTTGAAGCTAATTTATCTTAGGATGACTTGTGGGAATATCAACAGAGTCTATGTTATGGGTTTTATTAGCCTACTCTCATTATGATTTTGGATCCCATAAACTTTTAAGAAATCTGACTTTTTATACTGACAATGTATATTTGAGGCATTTTTATGATTAGAAACATTAATTTGCCTTGTCTTGTAGTTGGGTAATACAAAATCACAAGATGGTAAAACAACACTGATGCATTTCTTAGCTGAAATGGTGGACAAAAAATACCCTGATATAGCTGGTTTTATAGATGAATTAACTTATACTGATAAAGCTGCAAGAGGTAAATATTTTTTTATAATATAATAATAAATAAGCTTATACTGATCAGTTATCTTATATACTGATAAATCATCTTATAATTAATCAATCTTTACTTATAGATTATCTTATACTTATATATTACCTTATACTTATGGATTATTTTATACTTATAGATTATCTTTTACTTATAGATTATCTTATATTGTTATATTTTTCTTAGACTAACAAATTATCTTATACTGATGAATGACCTGATAATGATAAATCTTTACTTATAGATTATCTTATACTTATAGATTATCTTTTACTTATAGATTATCTTATACTTATAGATTATCTTTTACTTATAGATTATTTTATACTTATAGATTATCTTTTACTTATAGATTATCTTATATTGTTATATTTTTCTTAGACTAACAAATTATCTTATACTGATAAATGACCTGATCTTTTACTTATAGATTATCTTATACTTATAGATTATCTTTTACTTATAGATTATCTTATACTTATAGATTATCTTTTACTTATAGATTATCTTATACTTATAGATTATCTTTTACTTATAGATTATCTTATATTGTTATATTTTTCTTGGACTAACAAATTATCGTATACTGATAAATGACCTGATAATGATAAATACCTTATAATGATTAAATTTTAATACAGTCTAATCTTATACTGATAAATTATCTTATACTTATATATTATCTTATACTTCTATTTTACCTTTGAATGATAATTCTTCTATACTGATAAATTCATTTGTGTTATACTAAGGAAATATTCTAGTGTTTTGTATCTTTTTTTTCAGTTTCTGATGAACAAATTAATAAAAATTTGAAAGGGATGGAAACTCAGCTAAAACAACTAGAAACAGATTTAAAAATAGCCCAGAAACAACCGGCTGTGGAGGGTGATGAATTCTGTAATGTTATGAATATATCCTTTATTAATTTCATAACATCAGCCATGAGAGAAGTGATCTTACAAGACATATTGCCATATTGTATTAGTGGATTCAAAAGTGAAAAAAAAAAAAGGGGGGGGGGGGAATAATCTATTGGATTTGTACTTAACTTAAAATATGTTTCAGTTCCTCCATAGTTTGATTAGTTACCTTAACAAATCGGGTCCTATCTGTTCCTATGACATGATATACAGATGGGATATCGGCACGTTTAAGGCCAGTAGGATGTAAAACCCTATTCATTTCATTTACGTTTAAAGATATAAAATGTCACTCTTTATGGGAGTGCTCTGACAGACTTTTAGCTTGCTAGTTTTTTTGGAATTGTCAATATGACAAAAGCAATATTTGGCAGAACATTTGGGAATGGGTAGGGCTTAGAGTAGTATGCTTAGAGGTGCAACTGGCGTAGCAAAATTTCCCTTGTTGCACACTGCACAACATTTGTGATTGTGTTATTTTACAACATTGTTTATATATGATGAAAGGCTAATGGGTATTTTCAAGAAGAAAAACTGAAATTTCGAAAACGAAGGTATATTTCTCCTTAACATTTTGGTACCAGTTTATATCGTCTGCTCAGGATCAGTATGATGTATTGAACAACATGTATAAAAAATTAGACAGCTTATTTACGGACCTCTCTAAATATTTAACATTCGATAATAAAAAATACTCACTGGAAGATTTCTTTGGTGATTTGAAGGCATTTAAAGATGGCTTTTTGGTGAGTTATGATTTATTTAAGATATGATGTTTAACTTTCAGAGATTCATGATATTTTTTGAACAACCTGTCAAACCTGGGGTTAGAGTGCAGCCAAGATGGAGCTGGTACCTACAGATTCTTAAACCAAATTCTCTTTCAGCGATGTAGTTGGAAAGGGCAGACATGGAAGAGCATACAGATGTTGGAACAATTGCATAATTTTGTTAACATATATTCTTTACATATCTTTAAACATGTGACATAACATAGCGAGGTGGTTGTGGGTTCTAATTTGAGTTGGCTTGTTAACGTAGGATGACCTTGAATAAGTCATCATCACTCAATTCCATTTAACCCAGGAAAGATCAAAGCCAAGAGTTTTGGTCAATGACCAGTTTCTTTCTTAGGTCATAAAGCATTTTGTAGACCACAATTGCCCATATTTCCAAATAAGTCCATACAAAATAAATAGTCTGTTTCAAAAACGCCTGAATGTTGCCTTAATATTAAATGTACATTAAATTTGTGGTAATACATAATAAATGCTTTCGCTCGATCTGATTTATTCCAGTTGAAAATCTAAAAAAGCACTTATAGATAATAAATAACAAATTCACCTTCTCCCCCCGAATTTGAAAAAAAAAGGCCTGTAAAACAGACTATTTATTTTGTATGGCCTAAGTTATATATATTTATTTATTTATTTATTTTAATGTACAGAATGCCCAGAAAGAGAATACTAAGATACAAGAGACTCAAGAGAAGATAAGAAGAGCTAAAGAGATACGCGAGAAGGCAGAAAGAGAAAAGAAAGATAAGAAAGCTAGACAGAAAGCATTGTTAGATATGACTACAGGTACGAGCCATTTGGTTATTTTTGATTTTTTTTCTTTTCTTTTTTTGAACATGATGTATGTGACATCTTGGGAGATTGGACTTAGAAAGCGTCTTAACTTCAACGTGCCCTAAACCATGCATTATACTGATAAACCAAATAGTTCTCTTATTGCCCACTGCTTTGTGTTTATACTTTCTAGCACAGTCATGGCTGAAAATAAAATTGTTTTTGAGTAAGAGATTCCAGGATTGAAAGGAACATTCTGCTTTTTTTCTAGGTCAGAATTTTTTTTTGCTCAAATTTAAGCCTCTTCTGAAAGGCTTTTGTTTACATATCATCTATTTTTTGTTTTCCTGTAGATGATGACCAAGAGGGTGTTATGGATAATCTATTAGAAGCTCTGAAGACAGGTTCAGCGTTTAGTGTTAACAGAGAAAAACGTGATAAACGCACCAAAACACCTAGAGCTGCCGGAGGTTAGTTAGAAACTTATTATATTTTTAATATGAACGATATCTTATTTATGTAAATTATGGTTTCTTTCCTGAGTTTAAAGATGGGTTCCCTTATTTTCATTTATGAAAATGAAAATGCTCATACTTATACAAATAGAAAGTAGAGGTGTTCTAATGACTTGGAATAATACCAGTTTGTCTCACATGTCCATAATTGATTCATAATTAGATAAATAAGAAGAGAATTACCAGCAGAATTCCAATGAGTGACCGATCAAGAAAGGTCAAAAAATATTTTTTTGTTTATCCAGACTGTACATACATGGATATGTATGATTTGGTTAAAACAAGAATAATTAACATAATGATAATTGACACTAAAAAATAAGGAAACCCATCTTTAATTATTTTTTTTTTTATCCTGATCCCAAAAATTTTGAGTCCGACAAATCATGCCTTACCCGTTTCCCCGGACATGGTGTACTGATGGGATATCGTCACGTTTAGGACCAGATGTGAATTCTCACTTTTTATGGGAGTTGACCGACCAGCTTTTGGGTCGTTAGGTCTTAAGCATGAATGGGTAGAGCCAGATTTGTCTGCAAACAAATTTTTAGATTGACATTGAGGCTTCTTAGGTATCTCCCCCAGAGTTTCCCCATCTTCACTATGTCAAGTTAATTCATACTTATACCTTGACTGCAATTGTCACCTTACTTGTATCTGTGAACGCAACACATGTTTACTGCCTTTCTTTCGAGGGCTTTGGTTGGCTGTATTCGCTGCATTCCGTGATATAAGAATAGTGGCCATTGCAGTCAAGGTATAAGTATGAAGTTTGTAATAGCTCGACATATCCAGAATTTTTTTTGAAGGCATATTTATTTAAATTGTACATCTCCATTAGTTTTGCTTTTAGACATATTTTTTCTGCTAAAGTTTCTAATTATTTTGCTGATTTGTAGAAAGATTCCACAGATGCTTTGACAGACATGTTGACATAGTGGAACAAATTTGATTGAAGTGGTAAGGCAGTCCGAAATTGTCCCCCATTTTTTAAACAGGAATTTAGGAGTATTAGTCATCTACTACTTGAACTAGAGGCTAGTTGTCACATATATTCTAATATTCTTACTTTATACAAGATATACCAAATATTGAAATTTTTAAACATTGCCAAAATGAGTCTTTGTTCATCAGTGGACTTACCTGGTGTCATAACTATACAACAGAATCCCTCTCTATAATCAAATAAATCCATACAATTAAGTAATAATTCATTAAACTAAAGTAATTTTGAATCATGCTTAGAAGTGTGTTTCAATAATTATTTAGTTTAATGGATGTGTCATCTTATCTAGAGATTCTATTCTTTATTCATGGTATCTGGTAAGTCCAATTGATGAATATATACTCTTATTGACCAAGTTTTAGACTTTTTAGTCCATTCTTAGAGATACTATTCCTTTAAAGGGACAGTTTCACCATCTTCTGGAATGTTTTAGCTAAGCTAAATATTTCTAAAAACATGACTTTCTCGACACAACAAAAATGACTGGTCTTGATTGTCTTTGTTATGTAAAGGGACAGATGCGGCATTTTGGGGGGTGGATTTTAATCTGGAAAAGTCTTCAGAAGTACTAGAAATGTACGAAAATTGATAATTCCTTTAAAAATATCTCAAACTAGGAATTTCTTTTCCTATTTCTATAGATGTCTTTTATATATATCACAGAGTATCTTAAAATGACGAGTCGTCATTTTAACTTTCAAACGCAAATAAATCTGGACACACATGGATTTGAAGGCTCAGATTTCAACAGTTAGCTGTGAACACTATTACTGATTGGCTTAACTAAAAAAAATTCTCGTTTCTGAGACTAAAATATGATTGGTCAAAAAAATTGCGTACCGGTCCCTTTAACGAAGATAATCAAGACTAAATGATTCATAAATCATAGAATTATTAGAATATTTTCGACAACTTAAAGCCCTACATTTTTTCACAGCACAATATTTGATTTAATGTTCTAAGATATTTATATTTGATCAAGGTTTGACAAAATTTTCAATTTTTAAGCACTTAAGCGCATTATTTCTTCCAAAACCAAACTTTAGACAGATGTTTTTGATTTTAAAATGATGTTACTTTATTTCCAAAAAACTAGAAGTCTGTTTTTTTGTGTATCAGGAACATACATGTGTACAGGTCAGAAAAAAAATCTGGAGATTTGCCTTGAAAAATTTGGAGATTGGGTGAAAAGTCGGGAGATTTTTCCAAGAGCATGTAAATTCATGAAATTTTTAACTCCAAATTAATTATTTTTTTTTAAGTAAGTTTTTAAGTCTTGTAAATTAATTCAATTGATCATAGGCCTACATGACACAGAAAAAATTAACAAATCTATAATTACGGATAGGCCTACCCAGGCAAAATAATTCAAAATTTGCCTGATTTTTCAAATTTAGGAGCCCAAAAAAATTTGATATTGTCATTCTTCAGTATTGATTAAATCAAAAATAATGTCAAGGTGAAATGATGTTTGAAAACAAGAAAGCAAGCATGATAACAGCTTAAGGAACAGTTACATTTTCATCATTCTGACTTTCCAAACAATATGGCCATGGTCTTGTGGAGTACAGATGTGGGAAGGCAAATTAGAATGATGTAAAGATGTTTCCATCCTATTGAAAATGGCTAGAAAAACCTATTTGAATCTCTTACTGAATGTTTTACAGTAATGAAGTATTTAGCTTTTACATGAGACCTAGGCCAGTGCTTCTATAGGAGAGTATCTTCTATAACACCCATAACAAGAATACTAAATTGAATCTTTTTTGTAATATTCAATCAAATTTCAATTTTAGAACATGTACATGTATGACTATCACAGGAAAGGGACATAACTCTAGTTATGGCATATTGTTAAACCGGACAATGATATCAATAACTGAAATATGCGGAAAAACAAGACTTCCTTGTATTTCAAAAGTACAGATTAAAGTTTCTAAATTTCAAACTAAGAGGTGCTAAAAAATTTTGTCTTGCCTTCATTGAATTTAGTTTACAGATATCATCCTATTTTTTCGTGTTCTTTAATTTTGAAGGTGTATTTTTCAATTTTAAAATATTTTTTTTATCAACAGAGCGGTTTAATAATTTATCACGATCCAGGGTATGGAAAAACAACCCCTCTCATTTTGAGGTGATTACAGGATTTCTTTTCAGCATGATGATGTCTTTAAATAAATGTTGTAGCATGGTTTAATTGCAATATCTCTTGAAGGGATTTTTAAAGAGGTCTTCTAAATTTTGTATGCGGGGACACTGATAGCATCAATTTACACCATTCCAATTTTCAATCAGACATCTGTGGTTCTAGCAATTCTTCTAAAACTATGTATTTTACAATGCAAAATTTGCTTGTATCACATAAGACTTTTGCAGGGGTGACATCATAAAACAAAACACTTAGTTTTAGTGGAATTGCAGGAACCACAGGTGTTTGATTGAAAATTGGAGTTGTGGGAAATTGATGCTATCAGTGTCCCTGATACGCATACAAAATTTAGAAAACCTGTTAACAATCACTTTAACTCCCTCTACTGCACTTTATGATTTTCCTTTCTTTTAGAAATAGTGGTTCAGATTTTATTTTGTTTTTGTATGTGATTGTGATTACTTTTAAAGTGAGCATTGAAGGAATTGTAGAGAGTTTTCTTAAAAAAATTTAATGTGTATCATCACTGAGAGCATCAATTTGCACCATTTTAATTTCAATTAGACATCTGTAGTTCTTGCAATTCTACTAAACTATGTATTTCACTAATCGCAAAGATCCTTATTCTATATATTCAATACCAGCTTTTGCAATAGTGACGTCATGGTGCGAATTGATGCTAGCTAAACCTTCAAGCTATGTGTATGAGTGTCCCTGTTAAAGTGATACTACGTCTCAGAATGAACATAAATTGAATTGCTCAAGAGTGGTCAATATGAGTATATATTCATCAGTGAACTTACCTTGTGTCATAAAGTAACAACAGAATCCCTGGAAAATTCATAAAACTAAGTAATTATTCAGTATTGATATTCAGCGTTTTTCAATGGTTAATTGCATATTTATGGATAATTATTAAGTTTTTTAGATTTATCAGATTATATTAGGATCCTGTTATGTTATTTATGACACCAGGTATATCTACTGGCTCTTATTGGCCAAGTTTAGAATTCTTAGATTTCAGTCTAAGACGTAGTATTCCTTTAAACATACAGAAGCTGAAGAACCTCTTATATCCCATTCCCAAGTCTAGAATAGAAAAGTTGAGTTTGTATTTGCCTAGCTAGATGCTAAATGAGTTTTGTTTTGTAGGTATCTATAGAAGAAGTTAAATTGTACAATCTATCTCTATCCTGAATAGTTCCATCTTGGTACCTTTTTATCTTTTTCTGGCTGTAAAGTGTACTTCTGTTACTACTAACTGTATGATATTATTCTTAATTGTAATCTGTTCTCTCTCATTACTTCAGTAATATTTCATCCTTATAAGACTCAGTTATATTTCATTCTCATAAGACTCAGTAATATTTGACTCAGTTATATTTCTTCTCATAAGACTCAGTTATATTTCATTCTCAGAAGACTCAGTAACATTTCATTCTCAGAAGACTCTGTAATATTTCATTTTTATATTTATTTTATAATATTTCATTCTTGTAAGACTAAGTAATATTTCATCTCATAAGACTCAGTTATATTTCATTCTCATAAAATTAAGTAATATTTCATTCTCACAAGACTCAGTTATATTCCATTCTCATAAGACTCAGTAATATTTCATTCTCATAAAACTCAGTTATATACCATTCTCATAAGACTCTGTAATATTTCATTCTCATAAGACTCAGTAATATTTCGTCCCTATAAGACTCAGTAATATTTCGTCCCTATAAGACTCTGTAATATTTCATTCTCATATTTATTTTATAATATTTCATCCTTATAAGACTCAGTTATAATAAGAC